ACCTTAATTTTTTTTTTAATGTTTGTAATTCAGAAGGGTCATAGGGTCATTATGCATTTAGTTATAGTATCTTTCATTGTACAATATTTGAGATAACATGTTCCCATAGAAGTTTTTCATAAATATTTTATATTTATTTGCTTTCCTGCATACTCAGTATTTGGTGTAAGAGATAATAGTAAATGTCTTTAAAAAATAACTATTGTTACTTAGCAGTAAAGTAACCATAAATCACCATTATTGTATATTATGCAGTTCAGATAAAAGATCACTTATCCAGGGATATATCTTAGTAGATAAGACTTTAAAAAGCTGCTCCCTTGAATTTGTGGAATTAACTTATGTACCGTCAAGGGTGAAAATGCTTTTTAACCATAGCTGCTTCTTCCTTAGTTATAGAAATAATGCTTTCTGTCTTTGTACAAGTGATGAATAGAGAAGCATCTTAGGAACTGAAAATGAAGAGAGCTCTTTCTTCTTTTGCAGTTTGAATTGAGAAAAAAGACAGATGAAGACTGAGAAACTCGCCTAACATATACATTAAATCTTACAACTTTTGTGCTTTTCTCATTCGGTTAAGCCAGTTATAGGCAGAGCTGGAGCTTGTCAAAGACAAAGCCAGTCAGTTAGAATTGGTTGTTGTTAGTAGGTTGTGTGCCTAAAGTTACCTGTATAGCCAGCTGGGCCTGTGTCACAGGACAGACAGCAGGTCCGGAAAAGAAGACGTTTGACCATGAACAGAAATGTCACTATAATTAAGAATCAATATAATTAAGATCCTTGACTGAATTTTTAAAAATTCTGACTGTGGAATATTCTTAATGTTTGATGGGATAAAAGACTTTATCACAGTCAGAGATGTATTTATCTCATAGTACCAACCTTTTCAAACAGGTCTCTTTCCCTGGTTACCAGACTGTGTCTTCATATAGTCAGGATTCCTTAGCGTGAGAGTTTTTTCAAGGAACACGTGAATGTTTTCATGTCATTCACATATATTACCAAAGCAGGTTTTAGTCATACTTTTTGCTATTGAGATTCTTTGTCTAAAATTTCCTTTTTACTGTTTTATGTAAGTCATTCTTTACTAAAACTTTGCTTTGCTTTCATTGCATCAAGTAATTTTTTTAAGAAACACCTTTATCAGTTTCTTTTAAAATGTTATTATTTTTGTTAGGATGGACGTTTGAAACCAGGAGATCAACTTGTCTCAATAAACAAGGAGTCTATGATTGGTGTATCATTTGAAGAAGCGAAAAGCATAATTACCAGAGCCAAATTGAGGTAACTATTCTATCTGTAACATAGGATGAGTCATTTAGCATGTCTCCTAAAAATAGCAATTGAAGTTGTCTTAGTACTCTAGACTCTAAAAGAAGTATTTTTTGATAATATTTGAAACATTTTCTCAGAATTCAATTTTGCTATATCCATAAAGTGATTTCTTTTTAATGGTAGATCAGAATCTGCCTGGGAGATAGCATTCATCAGACAAAAATCTGACAGCAGTCATTTAGAAAATCCATCGTGTACATCCCTCTTAAAAGCTACAGGAGAATATGGAAGTCTTCTTTCTTCTCCCTCTGAATTACTGGTTCCAAAGACATCATCCACTCCCAAATCTACAGATGCCATTTTGCCTTCCTTCCAGATAAATCAGGTAATCTTCAATTTTTCTGTTTATGTAGTTCACAAATCCCCTGTGTGTCTTTATGTTTATTACATACATAGAGAATTATAATTTTGGTAATATAGTTTGTTAACAAATTGGTATTTCATTGAAAGTTCTTTTTCTGTTTAAGATTTTCATGCTGTGCTGTCAGTAAATGTAATTTTTCAAGTCAGTTTATCCTCTGTCTAGAAAACCATGATCAGGAATGGCATCACAAAGGTATACATCTACATATCACTCAAAGCTACGATATGGAATGTTATACATCTATTTTCAGGTAGTCTCTGATATGTCTCCATTCATTATTATTTCTGTTTTCTACTTGACTGAAGACAGGCAGTCTTCCTTTCTGTTCCTCTGCTTCTTTCCTACACAGTGAGGCTAATCCTGATCATCCAGGGTAGGTGGGTGTTACTCCCTCACGTGTGCATGCTGGAGTACAGTTCACCCTAGAATCACACAGTAGGGAGTGTTTCTACATCAAAATCGATACATTTACAATCATCCCTTGATATCTGTGGAGGGACTGGTTCAGGGACGACCTCCCCACATCCCCCACAGCAGATACCAAAATCCAAGGATGCTCAAGTCCCTTATATAAAATGGTGTAGTATTTGCATATAACCCACAAACACCCTCTTGTATACTTTTAAGTCATCTCTAGATTATTTATAATACCTAATACAGTGTAAATGCTATGTAAATGGTTGTAAATACCTTGTAAATGCTATGTAAATAGTTGCCTGTGCAGCAAAGTTCTGTTTTTTGGAACTCTCTGGAATTTTTTTTTTAAACACTTTCAATCTGCTGTTGATTGAATCTGCAAATGCAGAACTGACAGATACGGAGAGATGACTGTACTTACTAATTGCTGCAATGCCCTAACAAATCAAAATTATAAAGTAGAGCGTTTACCCTTTAAATCTGTGTTAGCTATAAAACAAAATAGGAAACTCAGGCAGGCTTTTACTCAGTGCAATTAAAATTCATCAAAGGTAACTTCAGTTTCAGGTTCATGCTAATCAGACACAGTTTAAGATTTTCTCTCAGCCCCTTATATTTTTTCAGTTGGGATTCTAATACGTTTTCAAAGACAAGGTACATAGCCTTATATTTTATCTTTGGACATGGTAGAGCTGAAAGCAGTTGTTACCTGTAATTCCAAGTTTGCTTTGTTTGAAGATGAATATGCCAAAATTTTAAAGGTTTCATATTTGGGGGACCAGTGCTTTAATCTCTTTAATCATTCTTTTTATGTTAACATAAGCTTCTAGTCTGGTCTTTGACCTACTTTGGAAAATGACATTTCATGTTCCTCATTTTCTTTCATAGATAAAAACTGGTTGTAAGAAAACAGAACAGACTCCAGTTACTTCTTCAGACAACAGCCCTACAGATAAGTCTAACGCAGGTAAATGCACATTTAATTCCCCTTTCCTGTTATTTTTTTTCAATTACTCTCTCAATGAGGAGTACATAATGCGACTTAATAAACTTTAAATGAGCGTGCATTATGCCTTTTTTTCTTCATTGAATAAACGAGCAAAATAAATGTATTGTGCAGTGGTCCCTGTTAGATTATGACTTTTACTGGAAATTTTCCTGAACAAAGGGTTGAAATTTTAAAAGACGCGTTATCATAACAGTATCAATGAAGCTGTAATAATCAATGAACTGTTGAGACCAAATAATGAAAACTCTTCTATAAATCAAGATTAGGTTGCCTTGCCCTTTTAGTGAAATTCTGGTGAGGCATATTAAATGCATCTTTCAGAGAAATTATAGAAGGCAGCATAGTTTAAGGAAAGAAATATATTTTGTTTTTCTTGGAAGAGATTATATAGCTATAAATTGGAAAGAATATCTGTATTGTGAATTCAACATTATTGGTCCTTAATTACCATGAAATAATTTACTAACTTTTTAAAACAATGAAGGATTGATTGCATAAGCTACCCATAAGAAAAGGATTTTTATCAATCTGTAAAGTGTTTTTTGACTCTCAAATATCAAGAAAAATTTACTCCCCTTAAATTAACTCCAAAAGTTAAACAGAGCAATTAAAAAAAACTTTACTTATAGAAAGGAAATGTTGATTACATATATCTAAATTATAAAACAAAGCTTTTACTCATGTATTTTGATTTTTAATAGCATTATCTAGATCAAAACTGCAAAATAAGGAAGAGTTAGTATAAATCGTACAGTGTCTTAGTCTGTTTGTGCTACTGTAACAAAATGCCACAGACTGAGTAGCTTACCAACAACAAACATTTTTTTCTCCCAGTTCTGGAGGCTGGCAGTCTAGGATCATGGTGCCAGCACGATCCGAGTGACTACCTTCTTGTGGTTGCAGACTTCCCACTGTGCCCTCACGTACTGGAAGGATTAGGGAGCACTGTGGGGTCTCTTTTAAAAGAACTTGAATCCCATTTGTCTAAGTATCATGGTCTAAGCATCTCCCAAAGGCCCCCAACTCCTAATACCGTGACCTTTGAGGGTTAGGACTTCACCATATGAATTTTGGGTGGACGGAAGCATTCAGACCATAGCATACAGCTCCTGTACTTACCAGGAATTTATCGTGGAATCCAAGTAGTTTCTCTGATTTGGAATGGTATTTACCAGTGGGTTAGGAGCAATCTTTAGCCATAAATATATGCCTTTTTACTTAGTGGGCTTTGTTGACTCTTAGAAACTTTATTAGTAGTATTTCCTTTACATAATTGATTTCTATTCTCTTGATAAATTGTTTTTATTTTAAACTAGGAACCTATGTGAGAAAAAAAAATACATGAAAGAAGCAAACAATGGAGAGGAGGCATTTATGTAGCTTGTTTTTAATTTTTAAAGTAACTGAGCTTTAATGCCTCTTTTAGCCATTTGTTTATTCACTAAGTATTTACTGAGTATGTCATGTGTGTCACACTCAGTTCAAATGAAGGAATTAGGATGTTTTCCATGAGGTACTTAACAGCATATTTTGAAATAAAATATGGGGTTAAAAACCTTCATTATTCAGATCAGAAAACACATATATGTGTGTGTTTGTTCATGTGTGTGTGATTATTTTATTGAATAACTAACTACTCTTCTGTTTGCAGTGTTCTGTGTTGCCTAAAGCAGGGTGTGGGTAGTTTTAGTGCTCTAAGAAGTATACTGTCTTATGGATGAATAACACATTTGCACAAATCAGTTAAAGACACAAACAAAGTGGACTAAGAGAAGAAATGTTAAGCGGCCTGAGTGTGGTACAGGGAAGGCACAGTGAGTGGTTAATCACCAGGCTCTGAATGCAGACTTAGAGGTTCAGATCTTTGCTCCAACTTATTAGCTATGTTACCTTGAAATAGTTGCCTTTTGGGTTTGGTGCGAGATTTTACATGCCAGGCACTTTGTAACAGGTGCATTGTGTATGCTCAGTGCATTTTGCTGTTATTATTATTAATCTTACAGAACCTGCAGACTAGAGTATAGCTCAGATAATATTCCATGGCATGGTTTTTAGAGCAGAAGTGACAGCTTCTGTCCTTTAATTCAGTTTTGCTTTCTCCTTCCTACTCCCAAAGCTAGTACATAGTAAAAGATTTGTCATGAAATACACAGAAATCAAGAGGAAAATTTCTTGGCAGATGTCAGACATCATCCAGATATTGAAAGGAGTGGTAAACATCACCATGATCAAAAGCAAAGAAGTAAGGACAAGCTACGTGTCAGGTGACCCTAGGAGGCAAATCTGATTAGGGCAAGAGATCCCGTAGTAATGAACAAACAGGTAATTTACCTCAGTGACTATAATACTACTAGACTTTGTAATAGAAAAATAAATTAGTAAAAAATATATTTGAGTGAGTAAGCTATATATAAAGTAGATATTAAAATGAAATTAAAGTGGAATTTTAATTTTTCTACAGTAGAAATAGAATTGACTCAGTACCATTTTCTTCCACATAAATATAGTGGGCTAGATGTTTCTGGGTGGAAAAAAAGTCAACTCTAAATTTTATCTAGGTAACTTATATACATTGTGGTTTGTTTGATAGAAGTACTTAACTATAGACTGTCCTCAAATTAGGTCCTTAACCATCACATCTAGACTCCTTCAGCCAGCTGAAGGAGTATTTATTAAAAAAATATAGACAAATTTTAATGTCAACCTCAACAAAAATAAACTTAATGAGGCAAATCTACCCCTGTTCCCATCTCAAAATCATTCCAAAATGTAAAACTGTTCAGAACATTTAAAATCCACTTGTACTTGAGTATGTTTTTGGAAACTA